TGTGTGTGTGTGTGTGTGTGTGTGTGTGTGTGTGTGTGTGTGTGTGTGTGTGTGTGTGTGTGTGTGTCATTGCTGCTGTAGAAGAGTGTATCTGAATGGATGCACAAAGCTCTGCAGGTGGAGCTGCAGGACTGGCAGAGGGACCAGGAGCCAGATACAGACCATGAGGGCTTCTACCAAACAAGCCTGCCCACAATCATCACACAGGTAACCAGTGCTATAAAAACATCAGATAAATACAATCACAGATCCATGACGTGGAGCAAATTTTACACATTTGAAAGTTTCTTTAATAAACCTTCAAATGAGCATCTCACAATCCTCGCATGCAGCACGACTGTGGATTCTGTCCTGGTTTTGGAGCTGGATAATGTAATCACGTGATAATGTAATCACAATGATGATCTTCATCCCTGTCCACACCCTGCAGATTCTGTATGTAATGAAATTATGTGCTTCTTGGAAATGCACTGGCAGAAACAAAGATCTCACATTCTCTGCTATTAAACTTAGTTCAAGTTCCCCACTGAATGTAGAGTTGGTGTGGAGTGTTTTATATAACTATGCTGTGTATTTTGTGTGGATTTGTGTGTCACGGTGGTAGATGCTGGAGGAGAACGCCCGGGTGGCTCTGATGATCGGCGAGTCCCTGCGAGATCAGACTATACAGATGGGACTGTATGAGATGGAGAACCTCCTGAACAGGTGTGTGCGCATGGACGTTGTGTGTCTGTGCTCCTGAACATACTGCACCCAGCTTTTGCTTAGTATTTGCTCTTTAGACCAGGTTACACTGTTTGTAGACTTCAAGTCAGATCAAGTTTTATCATTTCCTTATTGCTGCTGTGTACACTCACCAGTCATTTCAGTAGATGCTCCTGTTTAACTGCTTATTAACAAACAATCACGAAAACAACTCAGTGGATTTAGACATACAGACATGGTCAAGGCGACCTGGTTCAAACTGCTCTGAGACTTTCAGTCACATCAAACATCAAACATCCATCTCTAGGGTTTAAAGAAAATGGTCCAAAAAGAGAAAATGTCCCAGTTTCTCTAGAAGAGAATGCCTCAAAGTCAAAGCAGAATAGCCAGTGTGGTAGAAGGTTCAGGTTAATGACTCCACTTAACAGAGGTGAGGCCTAGCAAGCATGGATCAGCTGATGCCACCTCTGTCAGGATACCTGTCAGTCAGCATGGATATGCCCCTAAATCCAGTATCCAGCTGGATTCATTAGTCTGTTGGGGTTGACTCTTTTTTTTGGAGCATGCCTCTAGTGGGAAGTTAGAAGAACTACAGTTTGTGCTCTCCCTGCTGCATTTTTCAGCTCCGGAGGTTTCCTTTTGCAATAATTTTGTGAGTCATTACATCTACTTTAACCTCCAGGTTTCGTGAAGCTCTGGTGGAATTCGGAAAGGAGCATCGCAGGGATCTGAGCAACAGCAAAAATAAGTTCTACCTCCACTATCTGCTGGCCTCCATCAGCAACTGCATCATCCTCAAGTAAGTTTGTAGTGGAAGATCAGTGCAGGTGTGGAAGTAAGTAGTCACCACACACAGGAGCTTCTCATTGATAAATGCTCCAGGACGTGCACACTCTCAGTGCTCTCATGTTGAATCGATCCATCATTTGATGGTGTGGGGTCACTTATTATTTCTTAATATCACTTTGAAAAAACTTAAATAGAAACGGAAGAATTCCACTGGAAAGTTCTGAAGCAAAGACATCCCAGTGCCTCTACATGCAGTAGTGGTTCCTTTGCATATTTTTAGACTGGACATAATCCCGATGCACAGGTTGAGTCCTGATCTTTATTATGAGTTTAGCTATAAGTCACACAACAGTTAGCCATTAATAATTAACTGTCGCAATGTAATTTTCTGCACACTGGCTTGGCTCTAAAGCCATGACAAAAGAGGAAGATACAGGGTGAAGGCCACTAAATACTAATTTATCTTGGTATCAAATTAAAAAAAGACAAAGAAAAACCTAACTGTGAGGTGAGAATCATCAGTAATGATGACGTGTGTATCTGGACATGTTGAGTGGCACAAAGCAAAGATCTGTGTGAAAGAAAAGCCGCTGATGGTCTGAGGAAGGGTGGAGTTTAATTGAGGAAACACTCCAGTTGAGCTGATGTTCTGCTCCACCCATCGGCATGGAAACGTTATAAGCAAGCAAGCAGACCATCACAACATGAGGGTGTATGTCATGTGAGACACAGTGAATAGCTGCGCCTGTGAAACGGTATTGTGATTAGTTTCAATCGTTGTTCACTGTCGGTGCAGGAAGTCCACGGAGAGCCTGCAGCAGCAGCAGTCGTCCCAGTCGGCAGGCCAGTTCACTCGCACTCCTCCTAACCCTCTGGCAGCTCTGGACCGGGCGGTGCGGAGGGCGTGCCGGCTTGTCATGGATCAGCTCTTGCTGGATTTGAAGCCTTTCCTCCCAGGCCTGCTCACCCGACCCTGGCTGGCTCAGGGAGACCCGACCCCCAAACTTTGCCGCGTCCTGGAGCGTCACCTGGAGCTGTACTTGCGCGTTCGACCTCCCTGCCGGCAGGTATCAGATTCAGAGAGCGGTTTAGAAATGTACTGTGTGTGTCGAGGGTAAAGGTGGTCTAGAGGTACAGAACCTAATAACCAAAGAAAGTGTAAATAACCTCCAAAGACAGGAATAAGTCTCATAGTGCATATTTATTTTATACATTCTGTGTGTGCAGCGTCTGCAGGAAGAGGCCCAGTGGCTGATGGTGGTGGAGTACGTCAGGGCTCTGATGCAGAAGAGGCTGGTGTGTCGTAGTGGCGAGGAGAGGAGGCAGCTGGCTCAGCAGATGCTTCAGGACGACCAGCTGTTCAGAGAAATCTTCCACAGCCTGGTGGGTATAAAGTACTATTACACAATACACAATATTATTACAGAGGATTCAGAAAAATGTACCAGGTTATGTAACACTGAACAATATCAGTATGTTAAGGTCGAGACTTTGTAGAAATATGAGTACTACATTACTCATACTACGATACGAATGTTACATGTCATGTGTATTTTATTTAGGCCCGTGCTGGTCAATATTCAATTAATTTAACAGATTAACAAAATACACATGACATGTAACATTATAAAATGAACAAGGACATAAAAATGAAATGAAATGGAACAAAATCAAGTGATAGTTTGAAATAAAAATGAAATAATTAAAATAAGATTAACATAAAAAAGAGACCAAATCAAAGGATGTAAAAGTAGAAAAGTAATCATGTGACTCATGAAATTACAAATGCATAATTAGATAAACATTGACGTACAATTTAACTAATTTTTGAACATTTAAACAATATATGATGATTTTTTTTTTTAAATTGAATAATCTAAAGTATAATAAAACTAAAATAGGACATAACATAAAGAAATTGAGAAAAAAATGGAAAAATGTAGAAATAAAAATATATAAATGAAACGAACAAAGTAAAAAAAAAAAGATGAAACGTGGGATTATAGCTTTATGAAATAAACACATTTTTAAAGCTATATTGTGAAATAGAAACGTAATATGAATTACTGCATGACAAAATGAAATACTTCTAATGATCTACTTTTATTGTTAACTACAAATTAATTAATAAATTCATTGGTAGAACAATTATTTTTAAAGAAGTGGTCAAATAAGTTTCTTTGATAATAACACGCTGAGTAGAAAAATCATACATAAGTATTTTATTTACTGATTTATTTATTTAACATTGAGCACTTCGGGGTATTCGTATACATATAGTTTGCCGTTGTACTGCATGAGAATCGTGTTTTCATCTGCTGCGATGTCTTAACTGAATAATTTCCACAGAATATTCATACCTGTCCGTGCTCGATCACTCAAAGCCACACGTGCATCGATCTGTCTCAGCAGGAAGGTGAAGGGTCAGCACCTGAAGTGAACCCTTTGGCCTTACTCCCTGTCCTGGCTGAATTCATCCGCCTCAAAGACCCCAACATGCTCACACTGGAGGTGTCTGGACTTGCAGCCAAATATCCTGACATCAGGTAATCAGCACCTCCTCCACCCTAACTGCTGCTCATTCTGTAAGCTTGATGTGTAAAACAAATACTGCCAGTGTTGTTCAGAAGAAAGTTGTATTGTAGACGTCATACGTCAGCTTTCGGAAACACCGTCTTTAATAAAGCTGCCACAGCCCTGATTGTCTTTGGTTGTTCAGTGAGTGAAGAAACAACAAACAACAGAACAAATTCTTCCAAAGTGAGCAGACAAAACGGGATGTTTCAAGAAGTCTTTGGGTTGTTTCTGAGGTTTAATTCATCTCATAATCAGTCAGTCAGCACGTTTCAAAGGAGAAAAGCCTTTTTTATGATTGCACGCACCACAGGAGTAGGAAAATAACTTACCTGAACAAAGCTGCAAAACGAAAAACCCAGACTGAACATAGCCATAACACGAACTCACTACCTGCTGACCAATCAGGCCTCTAGAAATTAGCATCACCGTTGGTGGAAGATCTCTCAGACCTCTGTGAGATGACAGCAGGAGGGTTTAAAGTTCTTTAAGCACATCTAAAGTCTTTAATCTTTTTTATTGTTTCTCACCACACAGGTTTGCACACGGACAAAGCGTGACATTTAGTTTTTATACTTAGTCTATACTCACTCACAGGCCGTGAGACATGAGGCATGATATTAAGCAAGGCATAAAGTGTGACATTTATGGAAAAAAGAGTATAATAAGGTGATGTGAATTAAATAAAAATTTGATTTTAGATAAAATGAAATGGTCTGAATTAAAGTAACGCTGTCAGGTGAAAAAGAGAGAAAAATCAATGCGAAATAAATAAACTCATATATAAAACAGAATGATCAAAAGCGTAAACATTGTAGAAGGAAAAGCTAAAATCAAGTGACATTGTGAAAGAAAAGGTATCATTAAAGCGATGCCATACGATTTAAAATGATCTGGCTGTAGCTCAGGAAGTAGAGCAGGTCATCTGCTAATCGCAAGATTTGCGGGTCGATCCCTGCCCAAGCCAAATATCCTTGAGCAGGATACTTACCCCAAGCATCCATCGGAGCATGAATGTGTGTGAATGTTACATAGAAAGCACTTACATAGACGTAAGAGCTTGTGTGAGTGAGGTGAGTTGTGTAAGGTGCTTTGAGTGCTGTGTAAGAACCAGTCCATTTCCTTTGGTGAATAATGTAGAAAAAGATTTTGCGTTTGTTCTCTCAGTGAGGAGCACGTGTCCGTGCTGCTGGAAATCCGAGGCGACGTCTCCCGGGACATCAAAGGGGCTGTACTGGATTTGCTGGAGCAGAGCGCTCCCCCTCTTCCCGTCGGATACCGACCCATCTTCACTGACATCCTGGTGCCTCCCTCCACCATGGCCTTCTGCCTGCCAACTGCCAAGTGTGCATAGCTGCAGGGGTTTCGTGTAAAAAGCAGGGAGCTCCTAAATAAACACTTAGAAACAGTGCTGAGCAGAGTCTCCAGCTCTCCTTATTTATTCAAGATCTCGGTGATGCACATGAATTTATTTCTCCTCCAGCTTACCAGGGGTTTGAGGTGGCGACTTGCTGGTCCAGGTCTAATGTCAGCTGCGAGGCAGGGGTTGTTTTGTTTGCCTTAAGTCTTCTATACTTCCAGAAGTCGCTGTCAGAGTTTTCTGCAGTTTATACAACAGAGTTAACAGGACGTGGATGATTTTTAAAGTCCGGTAACAGGACTATTGTGCACTTCATACACTCTCTGTAGCCCCATTTGGATGGAATTTATTTCTCTTTGGCAGGTTGGGTGATTTTATTATCAGTCCACACCATATATGACTTATTTTTCTCTGGGGATTATATTATGATCAAAGTGAAAAAGTATTCAGCTTCAGGTAAGTAACCTGTTCTCTGAACTCTGTTTTCCACTTTCTCAAACTGTCACATTAACAGCGACCAGACGCCCTGTAGTTCTGTTATTTCTAAGCAAATGATAGAAGATAAATAAATGTGTTCATCTATTAACATTTACTTATTTTTTAAATCTTTTTCCTACCTGAATGTTCGTGTCCATTACAATGAGAGCGAATTACTAAAGGTAAAGAAATACAAACAGAGAAACTGAGCGACTGGGTAAAGCAAGAAGAAATCCTGAGATTAAAGTCATACAATTCTGAGAAACACACATGTATGATTTGTGGGGAAAAAATTATATCAACACAAGAAAGAAAAGGAAAACAGAATTTTTATGATGGGAAAAACATCTAATTTAACAATTTCCAAGTAAAATGTAGGTAAAATTTATATCTTTCAATTTGTTTAAATATCTTTAAAAGGAAATGTTAGAACACAAGCAACAGCTTTCCAGTCATTAAGAGAAACAACAAACTACGTTTCAAAAGGAGTTTAAATACTGTGATTTTCCCTTAACCTTCAGTAGTCTCGATACGCTGTCATATTTTCACAGACTTTAAAAAGCTGTTGATGTTATTCGTGTCCAAATGGGACTTTTGGTTCAGGTTTAAAGTGACAAACAGCACAAACAGGCCTGCACGCTGCCTTCGTTCTTCTTCATTACCCACCATGTTACTGGTTAAACGTTATTTCTGCTTCCTGTCACTTTAAAGAGTCAGCGCTGAGCATTGCTTTGACCTGCATGAGTAAAATCTCACATCAGCATAAACGTTTCTATGTGAAACAAACAATCTGCCTGGATAAACTGCACCAAAGTTTTTTGATCATTTCTTTGTGAGAAAACATTTTTAAGACTCAAAATGCTGCATATTAGATTTCTTTATATAAACTAAAAACTTCCTACTGAAAAAAAGACACTTTTAAACTTTTTTTGTGGAGATTTTCATCTGATTTGAGGGAAGACAGAGGTTATGGGACAGATTTATGATATTGGTGGGCTTCAAACATAAAAATGCTTTGAGTTGAGTTTGAATTAAATTGGCTGTGCAGCATGCATATACACATTAATGCAGCGTGGGTGTTTGGCAGGGTTTGCTCCCCGCTGAGTCAAAGTTACTATGGTAAAATAGATAAAAGGTGTAGTAGAAATTCAGATAAAGCATAACTCTTATGTAATGTATATTGAAAACCAAAGCTTTCAAAATGAAAGAAAAAGACATGAAATAATAATCATAGAGAAAGTGCATTATGAAAGAAAAGTGACAAAAAAATAAAGGATGAGAATGAAATTAAACTGAAAATAAGAAATATGAAATACGTGGTTGGATTATTAATAAAAATGAGACACTGATGAATCATTAAATATATAAGTGGCATAAAATATAAAAATATGATATGAAACAATGGCATTATGCATTGAAATGTTAAAATTAAGGTGACATAAAAATGGATGATAATTTAGGAAAGTGCATACATTAAAAAAAGAACAAATGAAAGTGTGTATAAGTTATAGTTTATTATTTAAAGATGAACGTGGTTTCTCTTTGAGATTTCCCAGCTGTGAACATCCCACCAGAGCAGCTGCTCTGTAATCACTCTGAAACTGTGTTTTCATTTCAAGCTTGCTGTTTGTACCAAATGTTGTTTATCTCATTTTTTTAGAAAGTATTTATTGTATTTATGTAACAAAGTCAACTGTTGTCTTTTGTTTGGTGTTTTGTTATTGGTTTTACATTTCTGGTTCAAAGCCTCTAAAGTGCATAAAGTCTGTTCCATAAGTGTTTTAATAAAGTCTTTATCAAGTAAACTTTGTATTTCTATTATTAAAAGCATATGGCACATATTAAGGTTGAAATCACTATCAATCAGCAGATGCAGTGTTATTTATTTATTATGTTCTTTACTTGGCATGAAGTATTTCTTTATATCTTGAACTACTGCACTGTAAATGTGTTTGACTTTTATATATTTTGCTAGAGTGTCCTTTATCTTTCTTGCCTCTTAATTCTTCTTTACGGTGTGTGAGAGAAACAGCATTTCATTTTTGCTGGATGTCCTGTACACGCAGCAAACTGACAGTAAAAATCTTTGAATCTCGCGAGAATGATGAAACGTTATTTTGATAATGAAAGCAAGATTTAGGTGTGAATTTTAATTTTATTCATTCAGGTTTTTTTATTTGCAAAGGCTGTTTCTAGTAACTAATATAGTCACTTTTGAAATCATTTATATTTTTATTTTATGAATTATTATACTGTTTCTTCTTAATATTTTTTTAGCTGTTTAAATTCCTGCTGTCTACTATTTACAGTCTGTTTGGAGCACCCACACTTTCGTTGTACACGTACAATGACAATAAAGGGCTATTCTTTTCTATTCTTTTCTATTCTGTTTTTTTCTTCTCATGTTTTTCTAATATTTTTATTGTCATTTTTATTTTCGTAATTTAGCTTTTCACAAGCCCGATTATCTTTTATAAATGTATTTAATAACCAACTCCTAAATAACGACACAAATACCAAAAAAGAAAATATCAACGACGCAAACCGTCACGTGACTCAGCCTACGTGACGTCACGTGGCAAGATGGCGGCTTCCTTTGGAGAAACGCTGCTGCTGTGATCGTGTTTACTTGCCTACTTGTAGAGAATATTCAGGTGAAACCAGCCGTCATTCAACCGCAGAGGGGTCCGAGTGTCGTGGCGGAGATGAAGACCTTCTGCGGGAGAGCCAACCCGACCACCGGGGCTTTAGACTGGGTGGAGGAGAGCGAGGAGTACGACTACCACCAGGAGATAGCCAGGTATGCTCAGGGCGACCAGTGACCACAGATGTGGTTTACAGATGTCTTGCGTACCCTGAAAACAAAGATCCTTAGAAACACTGAAGATATTCGCCACTCTGTGATCCTGTATGGAAGTTCAGTAATGCCGGCAAAAGAAATTGTAACGTTTGTCATGAAAATTCTCAACTTAAACGTGTAAAAATGCACAATAAAGATAAGAATATGAGATATAAAAGCACAGATAATGATATGGAAACAAACTACAGATACAGTCTCACTCTACACTGCTGCTGATCAATAAAAGGTTTTGAAAAATCAACGTTATTAACTGAAGTGAAAAATATCATGGAAAAAATGGCCTAAAAATGAGAATTGTAAAATAAAATTTAAAAAAATTATATGTTTGTCTTTCTAAATCCAAATGTAAACAGAACATGAATATATTTTTTAAATTGTACATTCATTTTCTTATTTATCTTTTTCTTAACTTTCCTCTGTTTTAATTAAGCTCCTTTGACTGACTTTGTTATGACACATGTTCTTTGTTGGTTATGTTTTCAAAAATGATGATTTTATACGTTTAAACTGCATTAGTGACTAATTTTTATCTTTTTCTTCTTTAATCGGTTTTTTAAAATTTACAATGATCCTTCATCGGTTTATCTTTCAGGTCCTGCTATGCAGACATGCTGCACGATCACGACAGGGTAAGACCTGGAGAAAAAGTCCCTCAGAACTCTCAGAAGTGCTTTTATTATTACTAATAATAAACCCAAATAGATGGATAACGCATATAACAAGTGTCGTGTTTGACAGCAGAAATAAAACAACAACACCGCCAACATGTCTTCCACTGCAGAATAAGAAATACTATGAGGGCATCCGGGCTGCTGTAGCCAGAGTGAAGGCTCGCGGCGAGAGGGTCATCGTGCTGGACATCGGCACCGGAACTGGCCTCCTGTCGATGATGGCCATCACGGCCGGGGCTGACCTCTGTTACGCCGTGGAGGTGAACATCACTGATCGCTCTCCTTCAGCATGGATTCATTTCCCCCTTGTGGTGTTTTAATATCAGTTAATAACTTTGTGATGCTTTCCTGCAGGTTTTTAAGCCGATGGCCGAGGCGGCGCAGTGCATCGTGGAGAAGAACGGCTTCTCCGACAAAATCAAGATTATTAACAAACACTCCACAGACGTCACTGTGGGACCAGGTCAGACACGGCAGTACTGCATCAGGCTGTGTGTTAATGAATCTCAACTTCACAGCTCACCCTAAATCAATTAAATCTTCTGTCCATATATTAACTTACTAACATCACTCTTTTCTCCCAAACTGTAACGATTCACTCCAAGCACAAAACCAAACAAGCAGAGGACATTTAAAAAAACAGCATTCATTACTTACACAGCAGTGCATCTGTTTTCATAACCAGAACCCTGTTTTCCAGATGGAGACATGCAGGTGAAGGCCAACGTCCTGATCACAGAGCTGTTCGATACTGAGCTGATCGGTGAAGGAGCTCTGCCCAGCTACGAGCACGCCCACCAAAACCTGATGCAGGTGTGTGCTGTCACACTTTTCCTGCATTCGTCAGCAGCTTCCTCACAGCTGAAGGTTTGGACTGTTTCCGGTAGTTTTACTTTCCTTTTGCTGCCCCGCAGGAGCGCTGCGAGGCCGTCCCTCACCGGGCCACCGTCTACGCCCAGCTGGTAGAGTCGGAGCTTCTGTGGAGCTGGGCTCAGCTGCAGCCAGTTGAGGTGGAGGGGGCCAGGCTGGTCCCTCCGCCCGCAGTGGGCCGGTGTGCCGGAGCTCACGCGGTGTGTGACATCCAGCTGAGCCAGGTGTCTCCTGCCAGCTTCACCCCGCTGGGTCCCGTCTGCACCATGTTCACGTAAGAAAGGAGACACTTGCTCGTATGCATCTGCAGTTATTCACATCCCTCTCTGACTGTCATCCTTCCCTTTCAGCGTGGATTTTAGCAAACCTGTAAGCAGCGCCTTCCAGGCCCACTCCTCCCAGTTTGTGGCTCAGTCAAGCGGCCGGGCTCAGGTGGTTTTGTCCTGGTGGGACCTGGACATGGACCCCACTGGGTCCATAGTGTGCACCATGGCACCCAGCTGGACTTACCAAGAGCCAAAGATGGCCCCGGTGAGTTACTGCTCTGCTTGTGTTTAAGCAGCCAGTAGCATCAGACTACAGCAAGCTCTTCAACAGCTCAGGCAGCAGTGCCACAAATATTCTTAAATATCAGAGGGAACAACACTTCAGTGCACTCACTTTATATTCAGTGAACATGCCAGCAAAAATCTGTGACATGATTCTTTGTGGTGTGTGCAGCATGGAGAAACAGTAGGAAAATGTGCCTGGCAGTCTTCATCTTTGCATGGATTTTGTACATAATAATGAAACTGCAGTAAAATCCACATCTGACAGGATAAAGAAGCCAGAACTGATATTTTTTAAAGCTAAAATATATGAAGGTATTTTCTTAGCTTTGCATAAACAGCTGAGGTTTGACTCACTGCGTTTAGTATGAGATAAGATAAACCTTCATTAGTCCCACACGTGGGACATTTTTTTTGGTCACGGCAAAAAGTAAATCGATAAATCATCGGTCACTGTCGTGTCTTTCAGTGGCGCGACCACTGGATGCAGAGCCTGTACTTCCTGCCAGTGGAGAGCCAGGTGACAGAAGGAGAGGAGCTGAGCCTGATGGTCTGCCACGATGACTACAGTCTGTGGTACAGCCTGCAGCCTCGCAGGTACGGTTTGCTCAGACGCATGTATACGCTTTGAACAATTTATTTAAGAGACTTCTTGAATCTGCCTGCAGCTCATCAAGAAGACATCAGTGCGATTGTTCTCACTGAATATGAGTGAAAAGATTCATGTGAAAAGCTGCACCCTATGATTCAGCGGATGGTAGAACCACGTTTAACAGCAATAACTTGAATTATCAGACATTACTCACAAACATGTCCTCCTGGTTGGGAATTGTCACAAACTGGTCTGAATGTCGATCGTTTCAGCCAGCGGGGCTCACAGACTGAGGCTCCTCCCTCTCGGCCATGTTGCACCTGCCAGGCTCACCTGGTTTGGACTCGGCCGCGTTTCGGCGAACTTAACGACAGACGGCGTACGGAGAGCTACGTCAGCGCTCTGCGCAGCGTAAGTGGAGGCATCGAGGCCGCCTGTGTAAATTCATATATTCTCAAATACGACTGCGGTTTAACGAGCCGGGTGACCTTCAGGTGCTGAGAGAGGACAGCGTGTGTCTCAGCGTCAGTGACGGGAGTCTGCTTCCTGCGTTCGCTCACATGCTCGGAGCCAAGAAGGTACGCCGCTTTCACCGCACAGATACTGTCGCTCCGTGACATCATCAGCGTCACGCCTGTTTTCACTTCCCTGTGTTTCCTTTTCTACTCAGGTGTTCGGTTTGGAGAACTCCCAAATGTCTAAACAGGTTATTGATGAGGTAATCATTCAGATCATTCTCAGCGGTGATGCTTTGAAATGTTTCAGGCACTGTATGATTTTTATTCTTGTTTCATTTTGGTAAAAAGATGATAAAATGGTTTCATATAACCAAAACTGTGTCTTATCCTGCTTGTTACGTCCTGTATATCAACATGAAAGCATCTTTCTCTGCAGGTTTTGGAAGCCAACTCCATGAAAGGACGCGTTGAGCTGCTGGAGATCAGGCCGGAGCAGCTGACCAGTAATGATGTAGGAGGAGAACAGGTACCGTCGTCTTCCCGATGCAACCAGGAAGCATCTGAATGCAACACATTTAGACTCCTTTAGAAGGATCTACCACAAAGCAGGATTAAAGGGTTGACAAGTTTAAAGTCTTGAGTTTTCTGTGTCACGAAAGTGGCTCTCTTTTGACCTGGCTAAATCACCGTGGTAACACATAACCTGGTCCAGTCCAGTCAAACTGGGAGCATCTATTAATCTGTTATGACAGAGAGGATTTTACGTCAGGAGTCCCACCCACATGAGTGCTAAGGAAACTGAAATGTGTGAGGTGATGTTGGCCTCTCCTGTGCAGATCTCCGTCCTGATGGGTGAACCGTACTTCAGCACCAGCCTCCTGCCGTGGCACTCCCTGTTCTTCTGGTACTGTCGCACTGCCCTGGCAGGTCTTCTGCGACCCGACGCCAGCATCCTGCCCCGCTCTGCCTCCCTTCACATGGTGGCTGTGGAGTTCCAGGTGAGGCTGTTACGATTGTTGTTATCATCTGAACATGGGACCCATAAATATTAAAACCAAAAAATCTTCTCTTTGTGGAAATGTTCACAGATGAAGGCGCTGTTAAATGTTTCATCCAAATGGCAACAAACAAGTTGCTATTTTGTTTGATTGTTTTTGTTTTGTTCACACCAGTGAGTGAAGGTGTTAAATACTCTGATCATTTTCTGCATCTCCATCTTTCAGTTCTAGATGCTGTGAGATTCCTCTCACGTGGAGGGGAATGACTGTGATTTGAGATTCAGTTATTTTAGACATATATCCAATTATTTAACCAAAAAAATAAACGCCTTGTTTCTGTCTTTGTCCGTCTGGTAGGATTTGTGGAGGATAAGAGCGCCGTGTGGAACCTGCGAGGGCTTCGATGTCACGCCCATGGATGAAATGGTCCAGGTAAAATGAGATGATTTCACTGGATGTTAAATGAGGTTTTGAATGAGTTATTTCTATTTTAATGGTAACACTGTAACATTTGGAGCAGTAAAAAGCATTATCTTAAAAAGTCATTAGAGATGATCTGTAGTCGTGTTTATTGAACTAGTGCTCTGTGCTACTTCTATTTTGTGAGTTCTATCAGCTTTTGGGATTGAAGGTGTCAGGAATAAGACAAATACTCAAACAGAGACACCTCTAAATACTAGTTTGACCCTGAGAGAGGACTTTCATGTGCACAAGCTTGCTGAATCATTTCAAACTGCTGAACTTCAGCCTTCAAAAACTGAACAGAAAACATAATGAAAGCAAAGCAGTTAATGACTAATGAGCGATTTGGGAGATTTCAATGCAGAATCAACAGTACAGTAAAACATTGTGTCATCTGCATATAAATGTACATACCAATTTGTGAAGATGAAATAATGTAATAAAAATATATTACAAAAAGAAGTGGATCTACAAATGAGCCGTGTGAAACAACTTTTATTAATTTTTGGTATAAATTCGAAGCTCATCGACTCCTGCTGATCACAACTATCTGTGTCCAAATAAATACAGCGCTCTCTGGATTTCCGCGAGTCCCGTGAGGCGGAGCCACACCCCCTGTGGGAGTATCCTTGTCGGGCTCTCACCCAGTCCGCCGCCACCATGACCTTTGACTTCACACAGTGCCTCCCTCAGCAGCCAATCAGCAGCCAGGGCTTGCTGTCTTTCATTAGGTACAGTTACTTTAATCAGTGCCAGAACTAATTTGAGACATACATGTCAGTCTAATATGTCAGTTTTCCATCATTGTGGCTGTTGTGTTATTTGTCTTTTCTTTTCTGTAGTTTGTTTTGTCTCTTCTCTTTCTCCTAACTCCCGATTGGTTGAAGCAGCTACTCCCTGAGCCTGGTTCTTCCTGTCAAAAGGGAGTTTTTCCTTCCCACCATCCAAATACTTGCTCACGGGGGACGTCTGATTTTCGGGGTTTTCTCTCACCCCGTAGAGCTCCTTTTATTGTTGTGTTTCGATGCTGTTAAAATACTACTGTGAGGTTTGACGTTCATCTTCTGCTTCATAGAGTTGAGTCAGTAACATATTTTCTATGTTAAACGTGCTTTTCAGGGAAGGTCGTTGCCATGGTGTTGCATTGTGGATGGAGTACCACCTGACAGATGACATCACTGTCAGCGCAGGTCTCAATGGACCAATCAATGAGCAGGTAACTGCCTCTGATTAGAGCTTAATGTCTTTACTAAATGACTCTCTAACTTAATTGCTAACACAGTGTTGAAAGAGCCGCCACCACAGGGTGAGAGGAGAGGTTCACCCTGGACAGGCTGCAGGACTAACACAGAGACACAAACAACCATTTACACTCACGTTCATACTTATGGGTAATTTAGAATCACCACTAACTGCATGTCTTTGGGCTGTGGGAGGAACCACAGGGAGAACCTCTTACCCAGGCATTCGCCAGCACCACCAACAGATGTGTAGTTGTTATACAATTTTAGTCTTCTTTTGTAGTTGCAGCAGTTTAGGAGGAGGCCGGCCGGGTGTCTGCACCCTCTTAACCCTCATCGGCTGCTTGTCAGTACTCCTGGTTGTTTCTAATGTCAACAGATTTACCTGCTATTATTTGGTAGAGCTGTTTTGTTTCAGTGAGAAGAACAGTGATTATGAGTGCATATACAATACTGTAAATGAAAAACAATTAAAGCAAAATAAGTTTAAAGAATCACTAAAGATTACTAAAAGTGGTCCTCGGTGGAGCGTTTCACTGGGAGTGTGAAGTTTGCGGACACAGTGGACTTGTTGGGTTTTACAGCAGATGTTTCTCCTGCAGGGCGACTGCGAGTGGAGTCGACACAGGAAGCAGGGAGTGTACTTCTTCGGGTCGCCGTGGGAGATCTCAGGTGACGGCAGGGCCGCGGTGTCTTACAGTTTCACCTTTGAACCCAGTTTAGGAGATATTAGGATGGACTTCAGTGTCACGTCTCAGTGACGTCGAGCAATCACCGACTGAACAGCTCACTTTTTACCAAACCTGACATTTAACATGTTCTGACTGAATCTCCATGAATAACCATAATTCAGAGTGTGGAACATGAGAAGCTTAGTGAGGATGTCACCAGTTCTATTTTTTACTTTCTGAGATGATACCGCTGCGGGATATTTTGTATCAGCTGGACATTAAAAGTCTGTTAGAAGTTTGTTTTTTTTTAAATTCTCCTTACAATAAAGGTTTGTACACAAAAACTTCTTAGAAGAGATGTAGCAGCTGTCAGTCAGCAGGTTACAGTCTAGTAAAGCCAAATGTTGTTTTGAGAGACTATTTATTTGATATTCAGGAAATTGTTTATAAAGTTGTTGTTTTTTAAATTGGTGTCAGAGTTTTTGTGAAAGACGTCATATATTCTAAAACGAGTGTTTAAAGCTGCTGTTTGACATGAATGTTTTGCTAACGAGGTGTCAAATTTGCCCAAATAAGTTTTGTGACTTCATATTTTGTATTTTTTGTCTTCTGTAGGGAAACAATATTTAATAGTTTTCTCTAGAAAATGCTATAAAAAAAAGTTTCTTAATTTCCTAAACTTTAGATGTTTTTAAAAGTTTGAGAGTCGGCTAAATTATTTTCTTTCAGAGCAAAGGATTACATTTAGATCCTGGGCCACCTGCAGTCACATTACCAATAACCATTTCTTAAGTATTAAGTCACATGCAGTGAAATAAATGGGATATGTTTAAACATTGTAAGGCTGGTTTTAGTTTATTGCAATGAAACAAAGAGGCAACAACACTTCTTTGCCTTCCACATACATACAGATGCTTCATTTGAACGGTTTAAACGCGGTTTGGTTTCGATGTCAGCGTTCGTAAATCTTAAACAGCCACTCGGTTCTTCAGCTGTTAGCGATCAGGTGTAAATGGAAGTTAAATTCAAGGAATAAAGAAAGCATGTCAGCTTTTCAGTATGACCTAGAAAGCCTTCAGGTGTAAATGCGCTCTCACTATAGACTTGTAGTCAACGATGAATCATTTCTATTGAAGCTTCAATGATGGAAACTGCAATCCAGCTGACAGATGGAAAAAACCATTTCTGTATGGTGTAATTGCATCTTGAGAGTTTACTTTATGTTTTAAATCTCATCACAGCAGGACTCAAACATTCTCAGTGCATATTTACTCCCGTGTGGATTATAAACAAAATGGATCAGCGAGGTGCCTCACTGATCCTCGGGGTTTAATCAGAGGGAATCGTGTCTACAGGGTCGGAAAAGAGAGGAATGTCATGTGTTGAGGTTTGAGCAGTGCGCGTTGCTGAAGTTGTGTTTCAAGCATCCGTCAGTGTTTTGTTGTCCAGAACGATTTTCTCTCCCGGCTTGAACGCCGGCATCCCCGCGTACGGGCAGCTGGCACATCGGAAAGCATCGCCAAGGTAACACTGCCACAAACAGAACAAAGATAATTATTATTTCTTTATTAGAACCAGAGGAGGGATGAGGAACCAATGCAGGCTTTTGAAAGTATACACTCACACTTCCACAGGCTGATTTTGGCAGGTCCGTCTTCTGTTTTCCTTTACTCTCCTGCTCCAGTTCTTCAGCTAGCCCACACGTGCTACACAAACATACAGTACAGCATCACGTCACATGATGTCCTTCATGCTCATGCAAAAGTTTCAGATCGCTGCAAACTTCAGATTGCTCATAACACTGGATCTGTATGCTGTCAGTGAGAGCAGACGTCCTTAATGCGGACATCTCAAACATAAATTTTATAAGTCATGAAGCTGTAAATGAGCATGAGCCCAAAGGTTGTGCATGGGTAAACGTGTAATATCTGGTTAAAAGTGCACTGACATTTCTGAAAGCTCGGATCTTGGTCCTAAATCTCTCCAAAATATGTGAGATTTAAACAAAACCTCACCAGTTCTTGCAGGCTTTCTTCTTCTTGTCGGCTCCTTCTCCACAGGCCGGAGCTTTAAGAGAAGCTGGATCAGGTTTTTTCAAGTCATCTTCATCCAGCAGAGCATCCGAGTCCATCAGATCCTACACAGAACATAAACACGAGGGACAAGAAAAACATCAGTGTGTCATTTATGTGTTGCATTACTCCAGGTTTGAGCAAACTGCAGAAAAATCAGCAATTCCCCACAAACTACATCGTGCTGAAATATATATATTTTTCTTTAAAAGAGGATTTCAGCCTGCCTAATAAACGGTCACGTGTGCGTGGTTCAGCGCTTCAGTCGGTGTACAAACTCACCACATCATCGTCGTTCATGTCGTTGGCTGACAGCGTCCACATTTTCACCGTGTTGGGATCCAGAGCAGGTTTCTCTGCTGAAATCACACATTTTAACCAACATTAGCTTCACAGCAGACAGTCTGAGGAGCTCACAGACTCACTCGTCACTTCTAATGATGCAAATGCAGCATTGTTAAAAAAATATAACAAAATAAAATGTTAGTGTAGTGAGGACGACAGACACCCCGAATAGGAAATGAAGTTTCGTCCTCCAAATGGAAATTACAATATTCATAAAAAAAATAAAATAAAAGAAGCGATCGCAGACAAACTGGATTATTGTGTCTGTATAAAGAGTCGAGAAAGTCACTCGTCTTCTGTTGATAGTCTTTAAAATGTGAAAACATTTGTTTGTTTTTTTCCAAATCGGTCAGCAGATTCCTAACCTGATTGTTCTTGACTTCATAGTGGTACTTCTTGTTTCTTCAGTTGGATTTTCTTTCATTTTAAACTGAGCAGAACTCAGTTTATTAACAAAGTATTCCTAATGCCCAGACAGTAACTTCTCCTTTGTTAGAGCCATAAATCTGTCTAATCCTGCACCACAGGGCTCATCCCTATCATCATCATCATCATCAACTCAAACCTCTCTACAAACTAAAGGGAATCTGGCATCTGTGGCCTATTACATTAGATCACAGTTGACAGAGACGGTGAGCTGTGGATTCAGAGACAACAGGAGAAAGAACAAAGCACACTCATGAAGCCTACCTGGCTTGGCTGTCTTTTTCCCAAACGACAGTTTGATCTGGCTCGATGACCCCACCTCAAAGTCGGGTTTGGAGGCAGATACGCGGACTCGAGACAGGGAGTCTCCTTGGTAACCAGAGGCTGCCCTGAGGGAGCTCAGCGCTTCAGGACTGAGCTCTGCTTTGCTGATCTGAATGACGAGACAGCAAACTGATATAAGCATGGCACAAAATCAGGGGCTGGATCCAGCCTTGTGAATACGCCCAGCTGGGAGCATTTTTTTTTTCCCCCACCCGTGACGTGAAGACCCACAGAAATAACGTGTAGCAGCTAAATTCGCTGCTTAACTGGTGGACCCACAGTGAACTGAGGATTCCTCCATGTTCATACTAACACTCTGGGATGTGCAGCACACTCAGAGCAGCAGTTATGCTGTGCCCTCCCTTATTAATCAGCACTGGTTAAGGTAGGATGTGGCGTCATGTCGGTGTAGCACTTTCCCTGTCCCTATTACACCGTTATTGGGCTGGGAAGAAAGTGGCAGTGTAGCGTTTTGCCCAAAGTTCACGTTTGTTTTAACCTCAGCAAATTTAAAAAATAAATACATAAAAAAGCTATGCAGGTTTTGGGGAAACCTTGTGACATGTGCAGAGGAGGGATGGTGGATATATTGGACAAAGGATGCTGAATATGGACATGACAGAGCAGGATGGCAGGGATAGGATGCGATGGAGGCACATGATGCTCCATGTGAATGAGGAAGCAAAAATGACCATCAGGTCAAACAAATAACAATAATTAGACCTCCTCAGTAAGGGGATTCTCAGAAGCCAGCAACTGAAAGACCCAAACCAACTTCTTTCTTCCAATCATGGTCCTCACTGTTCAAGCAGCTGGAGACTCAAAATATGTTTACAGAGACAAGCTTCCAGGAATTTAAACCCAAAACTAACTTCACAACATGTCAACCGGTGCCTCAAGTGCTCCGATCAGCTGGTCTAAGTGGAATAATGTCCTGAATATGCATGTTGCTGGAGTACACAGTTGCAGATGTTGGGGAAAACATCCCTCTACTCCACAGTGTGAACTAGGGCTGTGCGATATGACCAAAATCTCATATCCCGATATAAGACATCTATCATCCCGATAACGATATAAATCACAAACATTTAAAATTTTCCGTAAATTCCGTGAATCTCGGGCAGCTCGACTTGCATGAAGTGTTTTCAGCTGGGCGTTGTGTACCTGGAG